GAATATGAAGTCCATTAAGGAAGACTTCATTTCTAAACTGGAAAGTATATAAAGTAAAAGGTTGGCCTAAGTACCAGAAATTTCAATTTCATGGCTCTATTATCATATGAACAAAAAAGACATCCTACTTTTCATGTTCCAAAGCTAGTTAGAACAACAGATAAGTCACTAGACGGTCTAGACCGAGCAATCACAAACCCAGCATTGAAGCCTCCACTAACCAATAAAATCACATACTCGAAAAAGATGCTCAAAGGCGGATTACTTCATATTAGACCAAAATGCAAAATGTACTACTTCAAGTTCCAGTCAATAGCAATATACTTTCTAAAACACTGTCCACTATTTTCAACTAACATAGCACCAAAACAGTTGAAACCTTAAAAGGTGGATCTGGAGAAAAAAACAAAATGAACAGATCAAAACAGAATAACAGCGAGCGTCAACACCAGTTCAGATCAGTCAACAACTCAAAATTACCACAGACAATTTTTTAAATCACAAAAAATTAAGTCCATACCGTTCAAAGATAGAAAAATAAGAAATAATAATAATACAATAGCGCAATGAGATAAAAAGCAAAAGATAACACGGTTAAATTACCATTTCTTTTGATCGGATCAGAAACTCGTGTTGCTTGCAGATCTACTCCCAATGCGTTGAACAATGATCATTCAATTCAATACTTGAAACAAATTAAAGTACTTGAACTGGTCTATTCGCGATAATCAGCAAAATAATGCCAATAATAATCGATTAATGACACTATAAAATAATTCCAAAAGAAAGAATAAACAATGAGAAGCTTAAACCTCTCCAGCAAAGATTTTCTAAATAAAATTTTATCTTGAATAAGATATTAAGCCGCCGTTGCTCTCTGCTTATGATATCAGTTTTGATTGTAGCAAAAGTTCTTATTTTTCTACGTTTTTCTAATTCTTTTCGTTTCTTCTTCCTCACTCTTCCCTGGGCGGTCTTAATAATCTGAATTCATTTAATACGTTTATTATTATATTATTTTTAATTTACCTTAAAATAATTATGGGTAAACTGCAAACTTCATCACTCAGGTTTTACCTTACTCTTTTTATCACTAAATTTAAAAAAAATTAATTTGATCACTTAACTTTTGAATTGCTCTATTTATCACATTTGAGCATTAAATCACAAACGGTATGATAACATAAAAATTTACATCAAAATGATCGTTTAGAACCCTTCAAAAAGCATCAAAATAATATCATTTTAGATCCCTATAAAAGTTATTTTTCTCTTTCCTTCAATCTTTCTTTCCCTTCCGTCTTTCATTCCAACTTTCAACCATCATCAACGGCCTTCAATGAATTCCAAAATTTTTCACCAAACTTGTTTCATTCTTTTGAATGTAAATTCGGTATATGTTTATTCGAAAAATATCTCAAGCTTCATAAATCTGGAATTAAAGATTTTGGTTTATTATTCTTCAATCTCCTTTGTCTACCGTTGGATGGAGTTTGAACGGAGACACGTTGCTCCTCATCCCAATAAGGGTCTCTCTATCTAGGAACACACAGAGGATTTTATGTTAGGGACAAACTCATAAAATTTTAAACAGAGACAAACTTAAGAAATTTTAGAGGGATAAAAACATATTTTCAATTGGAATCTTCAAATAGAGATTTTGATCGTCGAATATCAATCTAAGCCTAATGTGAGTTTTTCTTTTCAAGATAAAATAGTCTTATAAAAAAAGATCATTTCCATGTGGAAAAACCTAAAATGATATAATCATTTTCTCTATTTTCAGGATGATTATGCTTTTTCCCAAGACAAGTTTGGTGGGGTGGAAACAATTAAGTATTTTGGTAGTGACTGTACTTTTAATTATAAATGGATAATTTTTGCTACTCTAAACAATTGGTACATATACGGAAGCTTGTTTTGTGTTTGCTTCATCGAAGTGGTCGGATTCATACCCCTTATGCATTGAGTCTGACATTGTGATGGCAGTTAAGTGGATCAACCAGCCTTCAACTACTCCCGCTTTGCTCGTGGATTGTGCTAAGCGTTGCAATTCCTTGTGTACAGGTAAAGCCTGGAAACTGCAATTTGCTTTTAGGGAATTGAACTGTGTTCCCCATGATTTAGCCAAGCAAGACAGATAGGTCAGTCGCTTTTCTTCATGTTGTTCAGTAAACGTCTGTTTGGTCAGGGGAGTGTGTGAAGTTTCTTGGTTCTGTAAGATGTAAGTTCCTGAGTTTGCAGGGTAGGTGATTTAGAAGGCTGTCGTATTTGTTTGGTTAATCGGTTTGTTTTTGTATGGGTGTTTGATGAACTTTTGTATGGAACTCATCATAAATTAATTCTTTTCCCGTTAAGAAATAAAGGTAATTTTTAACGTTGTTTTTAAAAAAACAATTGGTACATATGACCGACAATTAACAATTTTATGGGTTTCAATTTTAACAACAATTATTTCATTAAAATCTATGAAATTTCCGATAAAATAAATAAATGAATGAAAAAGCATAAAATTTAACAGGTTTAATTAAAAAAATAATGTTCGAATTATACTTCTTTTTTATGTTAGGTGTCTATTTTTTTTTTGTGAAATTATATATCTAATATTTTATTTTGTTATCTTTTTAAAGTTGGAATGTCAACGTTCGTCAAAAAATTATTACCCAATTATTGATTGACACATGACATTATTTTCAACTTCCTTAATTTCTAAATAAGATCCTTAAATTTATAGTTTCTCATAAAATCCCCTAAATTTCTAATTTTCTGGAAAAATAAACATAAACCCAAAAATCTTTTTCCCTCTTATCGTTTGCCATCATCGAATGCCACCCAGTCACAATAATAATGAACAATAAACTAATCTCCTCCTTTCGTCTCACTGTAAGTTATTCATATGTCATCTGTCGACGAAATAATGGTACAATAAATCGACACAAATCATTCATCGTTGGTTTCATGGTGCTTTGTTCCTTGATTTCCAACAATGAAAGAGTAGGGTAACCGACAGCGGGGTGCAATGGTAGAAATGGTGGTTGATTCGACAGTTGTAGAAAAGTAGATTTAGAGATTTTTCAGTTTTATGGATTTTTTGATAAATTAACTATTTTAGGGATTTAAGGATTTCGTACGACAATATGGGGACGATCAACTAGTGGTTATCCGACGATGGAAGGGTGGGTGATGGTGATTAATTTGATAACAATAAGTAAGTTATGAGGATTTGAAATTTGAGATTGGAAATTTAGAAATTTTAAGATTTTTTTGGGTTTTAGAAAAGTAAGGGGTTTAAGTTTAAAAATAATTAAAAATCATGCCACGTGTCATACATTGATTGAATGATGTGTTTTTATTACAGACGTTGACGATTCAATTTTAAAATGGTAACTAAATGAAACAATAAACGTTTACTTTGATTAAAAAAAACTTTAGACGTTTAAAGCAAAACATAAGTATAATATGACTACTTATTTTTAATTAAGCCAAATCAATATTATTAAAAACATTAGTGGGAGATAACAATGGATTGACCAGGGGCGAAACCATAAATTTATTAAGACGGAGATTAAAATATTTTTTATTTTCATAAATATAAAATTTTTTAAATGAGGGGGAGAATAAATTTTTCTTTATTAAGGTGGGGTTAAAGTATTTTTTATTTTTCATAAATATATTTTTTTAATTGAGGGGCGAATAAATTTTTCTTTAGTTGTTTTTTAAATATATATATATATATATTAATAATTAAAAAAAAATTGGCAAGGCCAAGGGCAGCCTTGCCCCCCGCGAAGACCCGCCAGTGGGATTGACCAAAAAAAATTAATCTTCAAAGTTGAATGATTAAATTGAAATTTTTAAAATTAAATGACCAAAACAAGAGTAAGGTAAACGTTGAGCGATAAAATCTGTGGTTTACCCACAATCTATTACTAATTTGTTTTTATTTTAATTTTCGTAATTACTAATTAAACCTTAAAATAGAGTCGAATTCCGAAAATGCCCTATATTAGGAAATATAATTACGTACTTTTTGACAACAACTCAGATTTTTTCCCTTTTTATTCTTTTTGGTCACTACGACAACTCAGATTAGAATGCAAATATTACCCCCATATAAATGAGTTTCTCTGAAAAATACAAATAATTAATTGATAATAAAAATTATAATACACACATATTTTATGAATTTTAATTTACATAAATTTATCTATTTTAAAATTTAAACTTATGAAATTTAAGATTTAAAATTTAGAATATAAAATTTAGGTTTAAGAGTTCAAGGTTTAAGATTAAAATTAAAAGCTAAGATCTAACCTATATCTTAAATTATAATTTTAAATTCTGAATCTAAATTTTAAACCTTAAATTATAAATTTTTAAGGTATAATGTCAAAAAATGGCTCTAATATTTGATTAAGTATTTAATTTGGCATCTATTCTTTTTTAGAATATTTTGTCACTAACGATTCATTATGGGGTAAAAGACATTTCTATAGATAGAAATCGTTAGTTAACAAACAGTTAACACTCCAAAATAAGATATTTTAACAAAATAAGACATTTCTATAGATAGAAATCGTTAATTTATCTATGCACAACAAAGTATTAATCTTATGTTGAAACTATTAAGTGGCTGGTTTAAGTGGGTACTGAATTCCTTAAAAGTTGTATTCAAGTAGTTGTGTTAGGGGGTTACATTGTCGGTGATTAATTTTTTTAAACATATATTACCTCATAATTATTATAAAAAGTATTAGTTTTATGCTAATAAAAGTAACGATTAAAACTGCTTGTGACCAATCAAGTTTGTCAGTTTTATGAGTATAAATAAGATAAACTGAGTCGGAATATTATTAAGTTTAAACTATTCGTATTAGTTTTATGCTAATAACAGTAACGATTAAAACTGCTTGTGAACAATTAGGCTTGTCAGTTTTACGAGTGTAAATAAGATAAATCGACTCTGAATATTATTAAGTTTAGCTAGCAAGACAATGTGTAAATGAACATGTGGCCCTTGGATTGGGTTTGGCATTAGATAACAAGAATTTAAAACTTTTTGCCAAATAACCATAAAAGCAGCCAACAAGTTTTTCAACTTACATCTCCATTTTTCTGAATGGTAAGGAATCAAGAAAAACAAGTAGCCAACGCCGGGTCTCTGCTTCTCAATCAACATCCCCCATATGCTAGACTACCATCGACTGCTTACATTTCAAAAATTAAAAAAGGAATGCTCAATCAAACCCAATTGGCATCGCTCCAAAATCGCCTTGGAAGCAGTCCCCCATGCTCACTTATGCTCCCTCTTAATGTATGATAGCTTACCTTGCTTCGAACCGTTCTTAATGGACCTGATCTGTTACCGTGTCTTATTGGCAAAGACGTTCCATCTCCGACCCAACTTGAAGCTGAATACGGTCGGTTCTCCATCTCGTCAAGTTGACCAGAACTGTAGTCCATTGTGACAAAAGGAAATGATGACTGCCCATAAGTTAACCGGGGGCTGACCTCGCCAGCATTCCACCAACTACTATCAGAAGGGGCAAAATCTCCTTTAAAGTCTGATTCGGGGGCAGAAGACTCCCTTTGACTACAGCAATCTGCACCAGTTTCATCGGTGTCGTTGTATATAAGCTTCAGAGCCTGCACAACTTCACCCATAAAAGGTCTGTGAGTCACCTCTGGGTGAACACACATGGAAGCAATGGATGCCACCTTAGCCATGTCGTCAAAGTCATATGTTCCGGCCAAAGAAGGATCCACCAACAGCTGTACACCTTCTTGACTGCTCAGAAGAGGCCGCGCCCAAGTTACTAGATTTTCCTGTCCCTGAGGTTGGGACATATCCACGGGTTTCCTTCCAGTCAAAAGCTCAAGAAGCACAACCCCAAAACTGTAAACATCACTCTTAACAAGTAGGTGCCCTGTCATAGCATATTCAGGAGCTACGTACCTGCAAATTCACGAACTTCGCCTTTAATAATATTTTGAAAAGCAATCAGACAGAAGACATAGGAGTTACAAGATTTCAGACATAAGAAATTGTAAACATAATAATATCATCAAGTGTTTTAACACGGATCAGTCCATAAAATTTGCATGAATTAACATGTACAATACTAGATATTTTCACTGTCCAGTAAATCGGAGGAAATGCAGTGGTGTGCAAAGACGTTTCAAGGAAATTTAATGCTATCATATGACAAATAATTACCCAAAAGTTCCCATGACGCGGGTCGAAATGTGCTGGCTTCCTTCAGTTGCTTCCCTTGCTAAACCAAAATCAGAGACCTTTGATGTGAAGTCATCTTCTAATAGAACATTACTAGCCTTAAAATCTCGGTGAATCACTCGAGGGTTAGAATCTTCATGAAGATAAGCCAATCCTCTAGCAGCTCCAAGGGCAATCTTCAGCCGCGCATCCCAATCAAGAGGTCCTTGGTTTTTGTCAACACCTAAACCACCAATACAAAGACTATATAAAGAAAACTTGAATTAAAGGTCAATCTATAAGCAAATTCAACAGTAGGTGACTTAGGCAATATAGGTAGGGATTAACAGTGCATTTTGCTTTCTTTTCCTTTATTTTTTTTCTGGACAAAAAGTTAATAGGTAGCTTTCTTAACATGATACAAAATACCATATTGAACAAGCAGTCAGTCCAATAAACCAAACAGACAAAGCAATGGCTGATTTGATAAGCTATACCATGCAAGTGTGATTCCACACTTCCATTGGGAACAAGTTCATACACCAAGCAGCGCGTGCATCCTTCAATACATATACCGACAAGTTTGACAAGATTACGGTGGTGCAATCGGCTTAGCATCTCCACTTCCGCAATAAATTCACGATCCCCATTCTGATTCTCTCTAGTAAGTAACTTAACAGCTACCTCACTTCCATCCTCCATAATACCACGGTAAACTCGTCCAAATCCTCCTTCACCAAGAATCCTCATTGAATTGAAATTGTTTGTCGCCTTCTCAAGCTCAACAAGTGTAAACTTTTTAACTGGGAGAGAACAAGTAGCCATGGCGGAAATGAGTGACATTGATGGAGAGCTTGCCATACTGCTTGACAAGATAGAACCAATGCCTGGATTAACATAAAGACCAGATTTTCATATATTACCATTTCACATATCAAAATAGTCAATACAGACAACAATGAAATATAACTAGTTTAGATCCAGCCATCAAAATTCCAATTATCATATGTTCCAACTTCACAGCTTTAAGGATGATTAACCATTACGATTCAATTGTTGTAGTAACTGAAAAAACATAAAGATGCACCAGCTTAGGGTTGTATGTGTGCCTAAACAGCAATAGTGGAAAACCAGTTACCCACATTGCAATTCCATGTAACAGAATCTAAATGTCAAACATAAAGCTCACTATCTAACCTACCAGATCTTTTGTTCAAAGAGGAAGGAAACGCCGGACCAACAGCATTTGATGGTCTTCCAAACTTCCTCCATTTTATAAGGACAGAGATTGCTCCAGCAAAAACCAAAAAGAGCACAAAAGCAGATAAAACAATAATCGCAATGATCCTGATGTTCATCTTTTGGTTCTTGCTAACAAAATGAGCTGTGATTGGCAGATCTCCTGTACTTCCAGTTGGACCACTCCCAAGAATATGACCATACGGCGGTGAAGCTGGAACTCCTGAAAACATGTTTTCAAATTACAACCATGACATAGCAACAAAATAGCATGACAATAAGTTATTTAAAACAAAAATGAAACGAAGATAACCACCTGGATAACTGATGGATACCACCTCATATGTTCCAAAAAGAGTTGAATTTAGAGATAGTCTTTTATGCAAAAGACGGTCATATGTAAGAACTGCTGTTGTATTATCAAACTTCTCTCCAAGTGGAACCAAGTTAATCTCTACCAATGTTCTCTCCTGATTTTGAGTATCCGCAGTGGCACCCATTATTTTCACTTGACTTTGTTGCAAATATATGCCTGCAGCAATCTCAATCTCTAGCTCATTCATCACAGGGAAAACAGCATAAGGAGCTACAGTTAGAAGAAGTTCGACTTTCATTGGGAAAACACAGCCACAAGGTGAACCAAAAGGGGTAGCAGTAAGTGGCTCCACACAAACTTGATCGCAACCTGACAAAGTTTTATTATCAAAACCACAGAAGAAAAATAAGCGTTTAGGGTGTTTTAAAACATTTTTTTTAAAAATGCAAGCACATCATACCATGTGAAGGTAGGCATATGCTAAGACAAATTGATTATTCAAAAATGCTCTTTATGTGAATGAACATATCAAACCCCACCATAATCCCCAAGTCTAACAATAAGTTTTGCAGACCCGTCAATTAAGGTTGAAGTTTAAATAAATTAGTTTTACTTTTGGCAAAAAAAAAGGAACCGAGCATCAGTAGGCTACTCCTCTAGACATTGCTTAAGGCACCGCACATAACATGTTACCTTGCTCTGAAGGTGATGGAGCATCTGCTCGAGGTTTAACATGACGATGGCGACGGTGACCACCATGATGATGATGTCTGGATGTCACGCGGCTATTGGGGCTAGACACAGGAACTGTAGAGCAATATACATGAGCCATGTAGAAGCATTAATGCAATAGCAAGGCGTTGGAAACAGATTGCAATAGGTACCTTGATACATAGGAGAAGGCACAGGTGCAGTAGAAGGTCCAAAAGAAGGATTAACATGTTCTTGGGGTGATCTTGGTTGAGACAATAGTCCACGCATTGAAATAGACCTAGCTGCTAGGATAGAAGCAACCTTATTGGTAGTTCGTATGAGAAGCAATAATGCACAATAATGAAAGGAGGTTAGAATGACTTATCCAAAAAGAGGAAGTTAGAATTCCTTTAAAATGTCATCCAATAACCTATACCAAAAATCTACATAAACCGGGAAGATAACTTGTATGCTACTGTTTTTCTTTAAATCATGAATTTAGCATATTGGGCTATATACCAGAACAACTAATAGGAGGATCCGAAAACCTTTAGATAAAATTGACCTAAGAAGAATAGGAATCAGACAAAAAAGAAGCAGCTTCACTTAAGCTTTCTAAAGATCAGATGCAATGAGGTGAGAACATATCTCATAACTAACGCATCCTTCATGTATAAACGGTAAGAGTTCCTATTCTGAACAGAATACACAAAGATCCTTAATCTTTCAGCTCTAACAATTAGTAGGCAGAAGAACATAGACAACCGTATAACAAAAATCACAAACTTGTCAAAAGTGACATTTTTTTAGCAGGAACGAGCCAATCCATCAGCTAGAAGTAGAAACCAAATGCGTCTTTGAATATTTTAAGTCATGTGTTATACTCGCCAAAGTGGCTCAGCGCAAGTTCAGTGGACTAGGACACAGAAAAACATACATCACCCAAAAATGCTTTTACTTCAAATATCTTCTGTTAACATTCTTCATGGATTCAATATATCTACATCAAGCTATTTGGACATGATAGATTCTTTCAAGTCTAGACAAAAGGAAAAATCAAAAGAGTTTTGTTCGACTGCATTAAAATTTCAAGGAAATAAATGATTACCGCGGTCAACTATTGTTTCCACTACAGACAACCGATGCACTGGTTGTAATGGATACAAGAATATTTGCAGCCCTGAAACAAAAGTAAAATAAAATAGAACATAATTTAATCTTCCTTCAGTAGCCATAGTTATTGTAATCACTATACTGATAAATGTCCATATATGTATTTGAATTTGTGTTATTTGTACCGGCACTATAACGTTTCCGTTTTAGAACTGGCACATATCAATTGTATCAGTCTATACCAACTCATACCTATAGTCACTGGTAGATTTTTATTTTTATATTACTTTTTTATTCTTTTAGATTTTTATTTTTATATTACTTTTTTATTCTTTTAATAAATTACCGATGCCTCTTCTCTCATGATTATTTATTTTTTTTCACATTTTCTTTCAACAATTGAATATGTCATATAAATTGTGGTATTTACCTGATTAATAAAAAATTACTATTATTCAGTATATCTTCAACACACAATCTTTTGTATTCATATAAGCATAAATTTTCAAAACTATAAATATCAAATGAATATATTCTTTAGTACAAAACTTGAAATTGGACTACATAAAAAATACTTTAAAAATTGTCGATAAAACCCAAAATGGAACATCAAAACAATTGATTTGCATGTACCATGAAATAACTGTATATTACAAGTTTACAACAAATTCGATAATTATGACAAAGATTTCAACACTTCCAAGAGTAGCAGATTTTGACCATTTACTCAAAATACCCAAAATAAATGCTAAAAACATTTTAATAAGATAGAAAACGCTCATACTCCCTTTTAAATAGTCCCACAATGAAATAAACTCGTATATATTTACATATGAGACATAATGTAAGCAAATTCAACTACATCATTTTCAGTAAATCAGCAGATCATATATTGCTCAATGGGCTAAAATACTGATCAATTATCTAACTTTTCCCCCAATTCCCAATTCTTTAAGAAATACTATAGGGAACGGGGAAATTGGAGACTTGTAGATACTTAGTTTTGGTTACTAAACGATTATTCAAAAAGCAAAGCATTTTCTACATTTTTCTCGGCAAAGGCCAGCAAGTGCGTTAAAGGGATAACTTTATAGTGGATAAATAAGTAGCCATAAGAGAGCCAATCAGAACCAGGCAAAGTCTACTTAGCTTAATAAAATATGATGTTTTGACCTTTAATTTATTTCCAAATGAAATTAAAGCTCGAGTAGAACTGGAATTTTCTCCACATTTCTTCCAGTGGCGGATGCACTAAGCCCCCATAGGGGCCAAGTGCATCCATTAATTTGGAAAAGTGGTTAAATTTAGCTTAATGGGTTAAGGAAAAAAGAAAAAAATTACAATTTTTGCATTACCAATATTTTTAAGAAAAGAAAATTAAATTTTTGGACCCTTCTTACATTTCTAGATCCGCCACTGATTTCTTCCATTTCTACTATACTTAGCAAACCAAATAGATAAATAAATAAATTTAACATAAGAAAAGAGCAAGTATCCCGAAAGAGTTATACCTAAACAGGAACAAGAGAGAAAGCTGAGTAAGCAAACAAAAAGCAACAGGAACAGAGTCAAATCAGGCATCTTCTCTCGGCGAACCAGAGTCCAAAACAACCATCGTCAAAAACAGATACCAACTGGAGCCTCGCCGGACAGCCACCGGAGATTCCTAAGGTTCCACCGGACCATTATCCGCCGTCGCATTCTCCGCGCGAAACACCACACCTCATAAACCAAACAAAACTGAAGCTGCTACACTACTGCGCCGAGCGGTAAAAAATGAAATTAAAAAGCAACGGGTAAAAAGCCCTAGAAAAAGAGAAGATTAAGAAAATGCAGCTCGCCGCGATTGTAGATCCACGAAACGCGGCAAATATCAACCGCAACAATGCAGCGAAAAGAGTTTCTCTTTTTCTTTTCTTTTCTGGAGAGAAAAAAAGGGGGGGGAAACGAGGGATCTGCTGGAAGTAGCGAGGAAAATAGAAAATAATGAAAAGATATTTGGAATGAGTGTATAAAACTAGAGAGAGTGAACAAAGAAATAAATAAAATTTTGAGTGAGAGATTGGGGGAAGGTTGGACGTGCTTTTATTGCTCTGCTCCCAGTGTATCTACAGCAACCGCGAATACTCTCATCCTATTTTCCTTGACTTCGCCTTAGATATTTTGTTGATTTTCAATTTTTTTTTCATAATAATTATATATCAAAAATTGTATCTTGTACACGAATAATAATTAAAACTAATACGAGTAAAAAGCTTTAAACTTTTTAATCTTTTCATTCTTATCTAAATATAAAAAGGTAAAATTTTTAATAATATTTTTTAAAATATAATATTAAAAAATATTTTTAATATTTTATTATATAATTATTTTAATTTATATTTTTAAATATTTTAATCTTAAACATTTTAATTTTATCAAATACTCATTCTTTAAATAAAAATCGTTAATCAATTAAAGATTATTATTTATTATTAACGTGATATAACATCGCATCAGAAAAATAATACATATATTAATACAATACCACGTTACGAAATTATATCTCAAAAATACTAAAAGTTGAAATGATATTTTTATTAACGTGTCATTGTGTCACATCATGATGTGTATTATTTTTTTTTTGACATTATATTTAATGACGTGATGTTATGATATATCATTAATAAATAGTAATTATTAGTTGATTAAAGATTTTCATCAAATAATCATTATTTTAACAATAAAAATATGGAAAAGTAAAGTGTTTCAAAAATATTATACATTAAAATGACTATTTAATGAGATGTTAAGGATGATTTTTCGACTTTATACATTTTGATTTACAACTACAATATCAAGTTGACATATTCATCTTAAGTTGATTTCATTTAATTTAATCTCACGAAACAATTGAAAGTTCATATTTAAATGTTATTTTTTATTAGTATAAGGTGAATACAATGTAGTATCTCTTTAAAAATTCTCTCAATCATTTGATAATGAATATTCATACACCTTACATACGTGGTGCTCGAATCCGATATCTCAAAAGACAACAAAAATTCCTTAATCACTCAAGTCTCTTGATTAAAAATTATAGCCATTTATTTAATTAAAAGAATAAATATGATAAATAAAATTTAATTTATGTTAAAATTTAATCTATGTGTCACACCTCTAGTCAATTAATGAATGTCGTGTGTCTTTGAAAATGAATTATTGACCTTAACATTAAGTACTTGGTTGGTACATGAACCATGGATGTGCATGCAATTAGGACTCGATGAGTTACAGTTTGACTTTATAAGATTGATTTTTGTAATAAAAATAATTTGAGTTCGGACTAGATTAGGTTTTTAAGGATAAGGTAAAGTCCGAGTTTATGGTAAAAATTCTCTAATTAAGTTCCTATTTACCTAATAAAAAAGAGAATTATATGTGTGTATCAGATCATGTGTAAGTTTTTACTCAAATATCAAATTAGATTTCAGGTGGGATGAAATTTCCCTAAACTCAAATTAAATTTACAAATGAAAAAAAATACTCAAACATATCAACACATGTTACATTAATTGATTGATCAAATGTGTCATATAAACAAAAATTAATAAAATTAACTTTTTATTAATGTATGGGATTATTTTCAAATTCAAGGACTAGTTACGTAATGTTAAATTTAAGAGTCAAATGAGTCCAAAAAATTAAAAGATCAACTACATATTTAATAACCGAATTCAAATATTAATTAAGCACTTAAAGTCAAATTAAGAGTCTAACGAGAACAAAAGAACATTCAATGACAAACTAAATTCATAAGGTCAAATATAGAACAAAGCAGAGGTGGAACCAATAAAAAAATTCAGAGGTTACCTTTCAAAAGTTCAATCGATTACTGTCGGCATCCCCTTCAAAGTTCAATCGCTCCAGGAAGACAGTGAGGCAGCCCTTGCGGCCTTGTCTTTCCAAGATGGGTTGAGTTTCCATAAGACCACAGCGGCACATCCCTTGCTGACGGTTCACGGTTGTCTTTCTAATATTCAATCGAGATTTTTAATTTCCACAGAGGCACAACCCTTAGCCCTTGCCGGCGGTTTACGGTTGCCCTTCTAATCTTCAATCGAGGTTTTCAGTTTTCATAGCCTTCGAATATTCGATCTAATCTGTTGTCAATTGCTGTATCCCACAAAACTGGAAATAGGAGTTTGATTTATGGACTTAAGGTTTGGTTTTTGGGCTTGATCTCTTTTTTTAATTTTAAATAGGATATTAATTTTTTCTTATAATAAAGAGCAACCATTACACACAATATTAGAGGTGATATTTGTATTAATTAAAAAAATTAGAAAGGTCTGCCCCTGGAACAAAGTATGGATTAAGCTTTTTTACCCCCTACTTTTTTTTTTTATTTACGTTTGTTTTCGATTACCAGTGAAGCAAAGATCATTTAAAAAAAAAGGAGGAAGCCAAATTATTTATCGAAATAATTTTAAAATATTTTCATTACAAATTCAATTATACTAGGAATTGAATGATTTATTAACTGTGTTCGAATTCGTAATCAAAATATTTCAAAAGTATTTCGAAAATTAATTTAATTCCACGAATATTTTAAGAACTAATATTTGTTTCAAATATATTACGATCAAAAATCCTTTTTGTATTTGGAATAAGAAAAATAAATGGTAACAGTGTGCTTAGTTGATTATAAAATTAGCTTATACATTATTTTATTAAAATATGTGTATGCTTAGCAAAATCCAGTACGGAATGAATAAACATTGCTTCGGAAATTTGATTGTTGTTGTCTACAACGCTCTGTTCTTAAGCGTGCCGTAGTAACGCACCGACGAAAACGACAAAAGTGGCGCCGTTTGTTGCCGTCACTTGGAACTTTCTTTTTTCCTTTTCAAGTAAAAATCCTAAATTTTTATTCCTCTAATTTAAAAAATTCTTATGACGTATTTTTGTGTATATTTTGAAAACTAACTGTACTTTAATTTGTAAATTAAATACAATTATTCAATTTATTTTTATCGATATTTTTTATTTTTTACACTGATATTTGATTTAAATAGATATGTCTTTCGTCACAATTTTATGTATAACATTTAGAATTAATTCTTAAATTTGTTTGAAATTCTTATCATTAAAAGTATGCATTAGATATGATTATAATAGTTTAATATCTTATTAAATAAATTAAATATTTATAGCGTTTAAATAAGATAAATATATATATATGTATGTATGTATGTATGTATGTATGTATTTTGTTTAAAAGAGGAGAACTAATCTAGACTAAACTAAGCTAGTGCTTTCATTTTATACCCTTTTTGCCACTGCATCTGAGGCTGGGTGAATTCATGTAGTCCATTTAGGAGTGTTATTGCGAGTTTAACTAAGGCACGTGCCACCTTGTTTGCTTATCTTGATATTTGTATTATCAAGGTTTTTCATTATTATTTAGTTATCTCGCAATATGTTATTAATTTTATAATTATATTTTTTATTAAATAGATAGATTATATTTTTACGGCAAATAAACTATAGATTTGAAAAACATAAAAAATGAATACGTGTTTTTTTATATGTAATTCATTAGAATATTTATTATACGAAAATGTTTAATCATTATTAAAAGGCTTATATATGTTCAAATCTGCTTAATTGGACTGTTGATTTCATTCTTATCAAAAGAAAAATGAATTTTTATCGTTAATTCGCTTGTTAAATTGTTAATCAAACCAGATGACTCGACCAACGTCTTTTCATAACCATCACAAAATCTCTATACTATCCTTTCTAGAGATCTTAATAGACCTCCTTATTTGAGGGACCTTACTCATCGATGTAAAAGGCTTATGCCTTCTTTCTATTAAAAAAATACATCTTTTGCAATATTAAATAAGATTATATATATATATATATATATTCAAATAAACCCTTATTTAAAAAATATTATTAAATAAACCTTTATTTACTATAATATCAAACATACTTGTTCTTATTTGTTTACAGTGTATTAAAATATAGTTTACCAATAATTAGTTGGTCTAATAAGATGTGACACTAGAATCTTTAAGTAATGTTAGAGGTTCGAATCTTGACGTTTTCCTAATATAACAAATTGGGTTGGGAGAATCGCCTTCACATTTGTTCAAATTAGTAGATTAATAAATCGAATACCGGTAGTTATACAAAAAATATATTTTATCTTTAAAAAATATAGATTTCTCTTACCGTAAAAACTCTCAACGGGATAAGAATAATTATAATTATGTCCCTCATCAAATTATATAGATTGAATATTAAGTCAATCTTTTAAACATTTATAATTATGTCCCTTGTCAAATTATAAATTAAATTTATGATACCTATACTTTAATATCTATAACACGTATAACATAATTAACCACTTTATTTTATACCTACAATTATGGAATTTAATCCAATATTCCTCGGTAACACCCATTATGTACATGTAGTCTTTGTAGTCTGACATGTGTTTTGTAAGATATTTGGTATGTCTCATTTGAAAGATTGAAATATAAAGGACACATGGTAGTCGAGACGCTAGGAGCCAATAATTTTTTTTTTAAGTTTAATAATTAAAAAAAATTAAATATATTTTTTTATTTCAAATACTCTAAAATATGTTAATTTAATGGGTCTCAATAATTTAAAAATATTTTTAAACATAATTTTTTATTTAAAAAACTCGAAAATATGATAATTCAGTGGACCCTATTTTTATGATAGGAGAAATTTAGATATGACCTACTTACCTTCTTGTCATCATCTTCTAACTTAAAGTCCTTAAAATGTCAGGACCGGGCCTGCTTATGAGTTACTTCCAATTATTTGCTTTACTTCTCTATAGTCTCAATATTTTGTTTCCCATGTCCTTCGTCACATGGTTGTAGGGTAAACAAGTTGTTAGTATTGATAACTTGGATAACCATAATAGTGATCGCATCAACTTATCCTCAAACTTAACTATCATTATTTTATAACTTTTTGATAATTCAAGTTATCATTT